ATATTCGACGAATTTGGATTCTTTTTGAAGAGTTTTTGGACACATCTATTTGAGAACCAACTCTAGGCTTTATTTGGGGCCAAAATTGATCAGAAAAGTGACTCTTCCTGACATTTCATTGACCCAATTCAACCTTTTACGCATCACACATTCTTCCATTTTTCATTCCACAACCATTTAGAGTCCATTGTTCTTATACTTTAGAGTTTTATGGCGAGATTAAGTGTGAACTCTTTTCTAAGAGTGTTGAAGAAGGAGAAAAATGTGAGATTTCTTCTTCCTACATTTCTTAGAAGAGGCTACAAGGGATTTGCTTTGAGAAAGAGTTTCAGATAAGTTTTGTTTGTTTATTAGTGTTGTATGAACTTTTTTTATATATGAAAATTTGTGTTTTGTTATATCTTTCTCATGAAGTCTGAGTAGTTTACTTTATCTTTCTCCCTACTCTGAGATATGGTGAAATGAAGAGATAATATGGATATGCTAATATTAAAATATAATATAAATTGTGATGATTTTAACTCCGAACTTAATTTTACTTTTCAATCTGACCAATTGAATTGTTAAAATATGTTATGAAACATATGATCTGAGAAATGGAGTATGTGTTCTGCAACAGAGTGAGGATCATATTTGATTCCATGAAGGAGAATTTCGTTCATGGAATTATGTGCAAATAAATAGGAAAATAAACTTTATTGGGTGTAGAATTGGAGAATCTTTAGGTTGACCGACTAAAATCCTCAATTCGACCTTAGTGTTTAAAAACTAAAGCGAGAGTTAGCCTTTAGGTGAAGGGAAGTGCGAGCTCTGGAGTGGGAGCCAATATCTTCCTAGCCTAACCACAGATTAGGGACTAAACCTGGGATTAGCTAATGATTTTTCATAACACTGTATTAGGGTAGAGAATTAAAACTGCTCCTATTTGACGCAATACATATTAAAACCATTTATCTCATCTCATTTTACTAAAATCTTATTGTAGTGGAAAAAATGCTTTTTCACATAAGAAATCTTCGTCACATGAACATAGTTTAATAATTTAGTAGTTACTATTTAAACTTTGTATTTCAGTTTTGTTATTAGTTAAATAATTTAGTTATGATAATATCTCAACATTCAAAATTAGTGATAGCAATTTCATTTTGACTTTATGTGAATTTCCTAATAAATTTATCATTTCAAATTTAAACCTTCCTCGTCGGATCGATATTTGGAGCTTAAATAAAAAGTCATTTATTACTTGATAACGATATATATACTTACGTATAATCCCAACATTAATTGTTTAAATTTCTAATTTATAAAAAATTGCATCAAGCTTTTGACACCGTTGCGTAACGGAGTCAACTATATAATTTTACACAACTATATTTCATTCAGAATTAGGTCTCTCCTCCAACTTAAGTGGATTTAGCTTGGATTGGGGGGTGGGGGTGGTGATGATTCCCTAAATCTCATCCTTCTCAGCTCGAGGTGTTATCTTTGCCACCTTACTCTCTTCCTTCTCAACTGGAGGCGACATCTTTGCTCCCTTTTTCTCTTCCTCCTCCACTGGAGGTGGTGTCTTTACTCCCATATTTTGTTCCTCCTCCACTAGAGGAGGTGTATTTGTTCTCTTATTCTCTTACTACTCAACATTAGGTGGGGTCTTTGCTCCTTTATTCTCTTCTTCCTTTATTGGATTTAAATCGATGGAAGGTGTGTTTATTACTGTATTTATAAATACTGGATAATGTATCATGATGTGCTCTCCAATTTTTTGGTCTTTAATAAACTTTATTTGTGCCTTCATGACACTTATTCTTGTGCTCTCGTTGCTCGGGGTAGTCTCAATCTGCCTAAGGTTATTATTTATTGAGGCTTTGAAAGAAATAAGCCTTTGATCCATAGATATAATCATTTTATAATTCTCAATGTTTGAAGGAGTATTTACATGGCTATGAGTGACTTCATCTGTGGTCACTGGTTTAGATTCCAAAACTGGAATTTGTTAATGTCTTCGGGAAGGAGTGGCTGATGGGGAGTAATGTACATTAAAAATGTGAAATAATAACTATGACTCTTCCATGGTTATATTTCTGAAATAATCGTGATTATATAAAAAAATAGATAATTTTTTAGTCTATATTGACTTTTAGAAATATTAAAATAAACTTTATAACATTAGCTTTTGCATGATCATATGGAAGCTCTTAAATAAAAAACATGCAAATCATATTTCTCATTTCCACTAATTTTGACTGCCACATGATACATGATCTTAACTATGACATTGTAGGGAGAAGAAAATTGGTATGCTAAGAAAAAACATACCTGCAATAATGAAAAATAATACATTAGCATGTAAGTAGTAATGATCATGCTGAAAAACATTATATCTTAAAAAATTCATACCATCAACAATGTGACATAGCCACTCATGTAGCCGAGAGGCTATTGGAGTTTTGACTTCTCAAGTAGGTCGTCAAATTGGTTTACCAAAACCTCCATGTGGCCTCTGGCCAATTATACTCTACAAATTCATGCACATTTATAGAAAGAAAAAAAGAAGATCCCTAGGTACCTTATAGTTATTATAGGGAAAAAGTAAGTTTAAAAGCAACTATTTAATAAACAATTTAATAAATTTAATACTATTTTTATTAAGACTAGGATTTCTAATTTTATTTTTAAAATCAATGGATGTGAACTTGGATTAAGGCTCCCTAATCCTTGTAACTTTGGTTCCTCTATTTGTCTGCCCAACCATATGAAACACTTCATCAACAGTGAACTTTAGCTCGTGGCCACCAATAAAAAAGGGTTATCTCTCAACATTCCAATACTCAAGAATGTACATAATAATTGGTATGTCTTGTTGGATGGTTGGAATCTTCAGGAAGTGATGAATATGATTAGTCCTCATTATATTAATAACATCCTCAAGAATGTACTGTGATATTTCATCATAGACTGCTTGAAATGTTGAGGGGTGTTACGTGATTCCTCTGTTGGTCATTTTTATGGAAGTTTACATACTGTTTAAAAAATAAACCAAAAAATATATAAGAACACAAAAACAGAAAAAAAAAAATGGTACAACCAAGTACAGCGTTGTCGTACCAAAGAGAATAAAAAAAAATCAAAATAAAATAAGGAAAAAAAACTTGGTTGACAACCATGTGACAAATAGTTGTATGAAGAAAATAAAATATGCAATGAAAGAACATATTTATAAATTCTTCACTAATCATTGTTTTTTCAATTTTAAACTCATAAGAAAATACAAACAAAATTGATGGATGATTTTAATGAAAACAAAACTCAATAGAGAAACATTTGGTTCAACCATGTACAACATGGTTCTATAGAAGTACATGGTTGTATCAAAGAAAATAAATGTCACACAAAAAGATCACATTTGTAAATTCTACAATAATCATTGTATTTTTAATTTTAGACTCATCAAAAAATACAAACAAAATTGAGGGAAGATTTAAATGAAAATAAAACTCAATAGAAAAATATTCGGTACAATCATATACAACATGGTTGTACCGAGGAAAATAAAATCCACACAAAAAGAATATAGTTATAAATTTTGCACTAAGTATTGTATTTTTAATTCTGAACTCATCAACAAATGCAAACAAAATCCAAAAAAAGATCATTCTATTTTGAAACCTGAACTCATAAAAAAATGGAAACAAAATTGAGGAATGATTTTAATGAAAACAAAATTCAACAGAAAAAACATTCGGTACAATTATTTACAACATGGTTCCATGGTTGTACCGAAGAAAATAAATCCACACAAAAATACCATATTTACAAATTCTGCACTAATGATTGTTATTTCAATTCTAAACTCATCAAAATAGCAAATAAAATTAAAAGTTGATTTTAATGAAAACAAAAAAAAAATTGACAATAAAATATTCGGTACAACCATGCACCACAACATGGTCGTACCGAAGAAAATAAGATTCAGACAAAATATTCACATGCATAAAATATGAAAGAAAAATATTTTTGTATAAAAAATAAATAATAATAATAATAAGTACTCTCGGTATAACAACATATAACATTATTGTACTGAAGAAAAAAACGGCACAGAAAAAAAAAAGAAGGTAGATCCATGAATGTTGTACAAGCTGAAAAAATCAATCAGATGACATTTAAAATACCACATGATTGTACAAGAAAAAAAAACACTTACGTTCATTTAGTTCTACATATATAGACAAAAGAAAAAACATTGCACAACTACAAAATATTTTAGAATAACATTAAAAAAAAACTATTTCAAATTGGTTAGGCTAAAAAAAAAATATGGAGAACATATATAAAATGATTGTACTTTAGGGAAATGCACCGAAAAACTAAAACAAAAAAAAAACAACTTCAAAATGACAACTAGTGTGTCACACACAGCTATCGTATGTTGTATTTTGAATCCTACGAGAATCCCAGTCTCTTATTCGTCGTTAAGCTGGGAGAGAGACAAACATGTGGAGCCCTAGAATGAAATAATGTTGGCAAACAAAAATAAAGGATTAGAACATAAAAAGAGAGAAAATACCGAAGTCTAACCTTGATACAACAGGTGAATCTAACCGTGAAAAAAAAAATCGACAGAACAACAAACCTTGGAAAAACATTAGGAATCTTGATGCCAATTTATCAAAATATGAAACGCCGAATGAACCTCAGGTGCAAAAGGACTCGATCTCTATTTTTGTTGTACTCGCTTTTTTCTTGACAGGTCGGGTCGAAGTCGGGTTACATAGTTTTCTCTTATTTTAAATTAAAATATATTCTTTATAAAAAAATAATAATAAATAAATAATTGACACACGACATATTCAAATTAGCCTCCACATGTAGAACTACAAGCATTTATCCGAGCGTATTAATTCCTGTTATCCGAACCTAATAATTCTTCGGCAATTATGACAAGCCAATCAGTATTATTTTGTTATAGAAATATCTTTTAATATTAAAGGAGAGAAAATAATCCGGCAAAAAGAAAAATGCCGTCAAGCCAGTGGCTGCTTCTTTCGCCCATGAGGACTGAGGTTCGCACTCACGAAACTGACCTTCCTTCTTACCTCGAACCCTAACTAAATGCCTCGACTCCTCTTCCTCCTCGTCATATGCATCGCGTCCTCGGTATCCTCTCTTCCTCCCCTCTCGGCCGATTCCATCATCCATCCCGACGACCAGGCGGCCCTTGTCAAGCTCCGCTCCTCGTCGACCGATCCAAGGTGCAGCCTCTACAGCTGGAATGGCTCCAATTGCAGCTCATGGGCAGGAGTTTCCTGCGACACGGCCACCGGCCGCGTCGTTTCCCTTGACCTCTCCGGCTTTGGTCTATTGGGTCCCCTTCCCCCGAGCCTCTGCAAGCTCTACCTCATCCAAACCGTAATCCTCTCCTACAACGCTTTCTCAGGCGTCATCCCGCCTTGTTTCGGCCGACTCCACGAACTCGAAACCCTAGACCTTGGCTACAACCGTCTTCGTGGCCCCCTTCCCCCAGAGCTTGCGAGACTCCGCCGCCTCGAGAACCTGTTTCTCCCTCACAATCCCAGTCTCGGTGGCAAGATTCCCGAATGGATCGGGAACCTTTCAGCTCTTGCAGAACTTGACCTTAGCTCGGATTCGCTCGAAGGACAAATTCCTTTGAGTTTATTTAGCCTGCGCTCTCTTCGAGAGCTTGATCTTTCTGACAACCGCTTGGCAGGTACGCTGAAGGATTTCTCCCAGCCACTCGTATCCCTTAATCTTGCCGCTAACCAGCTCACTGGAACCCTCCCCTGCTTTTGGGCTTCATCCACCTCCCTCTCCGTCCTCAACCTCGCCGGAAACTCTATAGTTGGCGGTATTCCCACCTGCATCTCATCTCTACGCGCGTTAGCCTTGCTGAACCTTTCTTCCAATGGTATTGAGTTCAGCATTTCTCCGAGGCTCATCTTCTCCGACCAGCTTCTTGCTCTTGATCTAAGCTCCAACGGGCTCTCTGGCCCAGTACCACGTGGAATCGTTAAGCACTCTGACCGCTCGGCATTGCTTCTGCTCAATCTTTCCAACAACCAACTTTCCGGCGAGATCCCGCTTGAGATAACGGAACTGAGAAGCCTTTTAGGGCTTTTCCTCTCCCACAATCAACTCACAGGGGAAATCCCAGCTGCCATCGGTAACCTAACCTATCTCCAAGCACTTGATCTCTCCTACAATTCTCTTTCGGGCCAGATCCCCATCAGCTTGGCTGGGTGCTTCCAGCTCTGGCAACTCAAGCTCAGCCACAACAACCTCTCTGGCACACTCAGGCCGGAGCTGGACGCCCTAGACAGTCTCAAAATACTCGATCTTGCCAACAACCGGATCACCGGCGAGATTCCACTGCCGCTAGCGGGATGCAAGTCTTTGGAAGTCATCGACCTGAGCTCAAACAACATTGCAGGCGAGCTGAGCGGTGCCATTCTCAAGTGGCAAAACCTCCGTCTTCTCTCCCTGGCGGGTAATAAACTCTCAGGTGGTCTCCCCGATTGGATCTTCTCTTTCCAGTTTCTCCGGTCGCTCGATTTATCTTGCAACAGGCTGTTCGGGTTTATTCCTGGTGGTGATTTTAATGTCAGTTTTGACTTCAATGGAGATGGCCATGGCTTTCTACTCGAAGGTGGAGGTCTGACTGGTGAGAATGTTTTTGTGTGGGCGGTGCTAGATTTGAATGGCAGCCGGCAGCTAGAGCTGCATTATGAGCTAACCTCTGCTGTGGGTATAGATTTGGCGGGCAATTCTCTTCATGGAGAAATACCTCTGGGGCTGGTTGGCCTTAAAGGTTTGGAATATCTAAACCTCTCCTACAACCACCTGGTTGGCCGGATTCCAACCAGTCTCGATAGAATGGAGAACCTGAGGAGACTGGATTTGTCGCATAATTTGCTTGCCGGAGATGTGCCAATGGGCATCTCACAGCTGAGGGGGCTTGAGGTGCTGAACCTCTCATATAACTGCCTAACAGGCCAGGTTCCGAAGAGGGAAGAGGGCCTGTTGAGGTTCCCCGGAGCATTTGCCGGGAATCCTGGGTTGTGTGTGGAGAGCAGTGGGAGAGAGTGTGAGGGAAAAGCTGCAAAGTTGCCTGCTGACAATGGTGCTAGAGGAAGCGGTGGTGATCTCCGTGAGGAAGGCTGGATGTCTGTGGGAGCATTCTGGGTTAGTGCAGCAACCAGCTTTTATGTATCTTCAATGGGCTTGCTTTGCTTGCCAAAGGTGAGGATGTATGTCTTGCAGACATTTAAGCAGGAGCTTTGAGGTAGTTGATGCTATTAACTCCTAAAAGAGATGGGGATGTTTGTCAATCAATTGCTAATCTTGTACATCACTTGCTTCGTTTTTGTTCTTGAAGAAAAATATTCTAAGTTAACACTAATATGGGGAACTTTTTATGGGCATATTTCTTAAATCAGCTGAAAAAAAATTCGATCCAAAATTTTAGATTGCCGGCTAATATATTTCGATCAGATCTCAACCCAAGCCAAAGTTCGGGCAATTAACGATCTTCAACCTAAATTAACACCCTTATACTTAACGATCCATTTTTGAGGGGAGCTGTGGACGGCTAAATTCACTGTGCATCACGTTGCTGAATGTTTATCTTAATTGATATGGGAAATTTGTTAATTATCATTTTTTTTTTAATTTTTGTGTCTGATTTAAGGTTGGCTAATATCACGTTTGGCAATTTCCTTGGCAAGCTTAAGGAAAGGAAAGCGATTACCTTGTTGATTACGTCGGTTGAAGAGAACCTTTCAAATTGCCTCAATTTTTGCTAAACTAAATTGCTACGGTGATGTACATTAAACTAAACAGAGAATAAAGGAGATGAGCTCACCAACTTGTGCTGAACACTACCTCGTTGTGTTGGGCTTAGTTTGGATTTGCTTGTTTAGTTTGATAAAGATCGCTTGCTTGTTGGGGTTAAGATATCGATTCAGTTAACAGAGCCAAAGGTCATACTTGCCATCAATAAGATAGATCCACTCTATCTAAAGTGGATATCAGCTGTGGCTCGTGGTATTCCTTATAAGATACGGGAGAATATTGTGTCCGGAGTCCGTGAGTAGTTTTGAGTATAGACTCTAATAATATGACGTCATTTATAAAGTGGCGAGACATAGTTTTACGAATTTAAAAAAAATGTGAAAAAAATTATTTTTTCATGTGATTCAGCCTGAAGATTGCTTGCTTCATTGAATAAAAATTGAGTGATATTGTGGTGGTATTCTTGTGTATTTTACTTGTATTATGGTGGTGTTTTGATAATATTCTTGTGATATACTGATAATATTCTGGTAATATTCTTGTTGTATTATGATATTATTTTGGTGATATTCTTGTGATATTTTAGTAATATTCTTGTGGTATTTTGTTGATGTTTTGGTAGTGTACTAGTAGTATTCTGATAGTATACTAGTGATATTTTGGTGGTATTATTGTGATATTATGTTAATATACTTGTGGTATTCTGATGGTATTTTGATAGTATTTTGGTATAACAGCAGAATGTCATAAGTATGCCACAATACTGTCACCAGAATACCACTGTAATACCACAAAAATATTATCAGAATTTCACTATAATACCACAATATCATCATAATATAATCAGAATACCACCAGTATACAACCAACATATCATAAATATACTAATAAAATATCACAAATATCCATCATAATACCACCAGAATACCAAAAGAATTTCACCAGAATACTATCATAATATTACCAGAATATCACTAGTATATTACCATAATACCACCAGAATACTAGAAGAATATTCCAAAATATCACAAAAATGTCATAAGAATACCACCAAAATACCATATAAATACCAACAAAATACCACCATAATATTATCAAAATACCATAAGAACAAATACTACTAAAATTCACCAAAATGCAACCAGAATATCACAAGTATATCAACATAATAACATCAGAATACTACTAGTATACTACTAGAATAACACCAGAATTTCACCATAATAACCCTAGAATACCACTAGAATATAATCAGAAAACCACCAAAATATCATTATAATAAAACTATTTTTTTTTTCGATACAAAAAGTGGTCTTCGACCCGGGTCGTGCAAAAAATAGTTTTTCCATATCTTCTATTTCATAAAATTGGGTCCCACCACTTTACAAATAACCTAGTATTATTGGAGCCTGGACACGAAATTGCGTCCAAACTCTAGACACAATATTTTTTCTATATGATACACACACATCTAAAGGAAGCACCCATTATAGTTTTACGGTGATTTTAGTTTCATGTAGGCTAGACTTTATAAGTCAATTAGGTCAAATAAGCTGACTATGATCATAGATGTACTCTGGTCTATTAAGTGTTATGATTGCTTCTTCAATAAGTAAGCGTCGCAGTTTAAGTTTTATCTCAAGGCATCACGTAAACTAAATATTTTTGTCATTTTGTATGCTTTTTGCTACATATCATGTAACTTTTCTTATAACACCTGAGGTCTATTATCTTAATCTATAAATAGAGAATTTTGGTGATAATCAAGGCTTAGAGCCTTTCTACTCTCTCTCCTATTTTTTCAGTATAATTGCTCAAGACATATTTAAGTGGATTTACTTTCATAATTTTTGTCCTTTTTGTTGCTTTTCTTTATTTTCTATGATTTAACATGTTCGAGCTTCGTCAACAAATAGTAAGGATCCAACATCAATTTAGTTGTTGAATGGATCATATGCTCAGTACTAGAAGGGATATTTAGAGTGCCATTAAAAGCCCAATAATAAACGTTATAGCCAAAGAAAACCATCATGTTGAAGATTCTATAAATAGTGATCACAAAAATTTTATAATGACAAGGCAACTCATTAAAATAGAAGATAAGCTAGACGAATTATTAGGTGTGAACAGAGAGAGTGTTAAGAGTATCCTCAACTAGATCCTAAGAGCAACCCCACCAGTATAATTGTTGGAGAAGTCAATAAACTCAAAGACTATAAGAAAACATTTAGGAGTGAGAGCATAGCAATCATTAAACACGACTATTATCTTGAATTTAAGGAAGAACTTTCATTCCCTAAGCTTAGGGACTTGAGGGGGTTGCTTGAAAAGAGGCATCAATTGACAAGCCTTTTCTCATGAAGTCATTGAATCACACTTCCAAGTAGATTAAAAAATTGCAATCTTGTATTTATATTAAATTCAGGTTAACAGGTTGAACAAGTATCCTATGTTGAGCCAACTATCTCTTATATAATATAAATGTTGCATTGAAGTGTTGATTTTATTTTCATGACCAAGAAAGAGTCAGTGCTTTGGTTATATTTCGCCTTCCTCTTAGGATGATCCTATTTTTTGTGAACCTCAAAAAGATTTTTATTACCCTATTTGCTAGTGTTCAACAACTAGAATTAAGCTCATAGGTATTGTTCAAAATGTGGCAGGAGCTTAATGAGTCCATGAGAAATTTTGAAATGAAATCCTTGAGGGAGATATTATAGATCAAAGACCTCGAATCAGTAGTGGGTTGATACACCTAAAATATATAGTATTTTTGTACACATTTTTATACATATTTTTGAGATATTGCATTTTAATGAAAGTTATTTGTGTTTTTCTTATAGGTACAATCCAATGGATGGAAAGTGCTAAAAAGAGTGAAAAAGGTGCTAAAATGAGTGAAAAATGGTTAAATTTGGGGAAAAAATAAAGAAATGTGCAAAAATGAACTAGGGCGCCTAAGCGTCAAGTACCTCACTCAAGTACCTCACACTTAAGCGCCAAAGTTAGTTACTTGAAGAAATATTTAATTTGAGCAGATTTTTGAAGAGACGTTGTACTAGCTCATGGACATGAAAATTCATTCAATTGGCTTGTGAAAATTCATTCAATTGACTTTTAAGGAGACAACTTCTAGAAGATTCATTAAATAGAGACACATTTTTGAAGAGACACTTGGATTTTTATAAGAAAAGACTTAGATTTTCCAAGAGAAGGGGGTCAGCAACCGTTTACCAAAGTTTACCGGTGAAAAGACTTAGATTTTCCAAAAGAAGGGGCCAGCAGCCAACCACCAAAATTAACAACCGCTGCCCATCGCCGCTGCCGCCGCCAGCCACCTTTACTTTATTTTATTTTATTTTGAGTGTTAGTTTGCATTGTGAGAGAAGAAAGAGAATTCAAAGGAACTTCAAAATATTTGGTGGAGAGAATTTGAGATAAGTGTTTATCTATGTGACTACACTTGATTTTTTAATTTAGATTTCTTGTTTGTGAGCATGATTTTTACTATCAAACTCATGTGTGGTTGTGTTTTCTCCATAGATTCTAAGCTGTTTTCTTTATCTTTTTTCTTAAAATGATAAGTGATTAAATGTTAAAAGAAATTTGTGTGAAGTATTAGACTTCAATGTTGGAAGAAGTTGTGATTATTCAAGACCTTGCACTTCATTTACTTTTTGATTTGACCAATTAAGATGTTAAAACCTGTTGTGAGAACATGTAAGATCCGAGATGGTATTGTCTTAGTAAACAAATGGTTGGAATCACATAATTATTTCTTAAATGAGAATGTAGTTCATGGGGTTGAGTGCAAATAAATAGGGAAATATATTTTCAAGGGTGTAGAATTTGAGGACTTTAGAGTGACAGGCTAAATCCCCCAATTGGATTTATAGTTTTAGGTTTTGATACGAGATGTTAGCCCCAAGGTAGAGGGAGAAGAGGGAACTCTAGAGTGAGAGCTAGTATCTTCCCTGCCTAGCCGGTCTTCAAGACTATTCAAACTATAGATTAACCAA